GGGGCCTGTGAACTCACCCGAGAGCAGCTTCCCAATAAACCTGCCTTTAATATATTTTAATCCGGCTTGAACTGTCTCATTTCACTGGCAGAGAAATAACCTATCACTAAGGACCAGAGATGGCTCAGCCTGTAAAAGTACTTGAAGCTAAGCCTGATAACATAAATTCAATTCCCAGGACCCAAAGAGTGGAAGAAATAGATTCCAGTGGTTGTCCTCTGTCCTCCACATGTGCATCCTGCCATACATACACCTCACACATATTTATTACATGCATGTATGCATACACACATACAAATATAAATGCTTAAAAAAATCTTCTGGCTCGGGAACAGCTCTCGGTTATTTTAATGACACCGCCTGTTAAGTCTTTAAGTGTAAAAAAGCTGCACCACTTGGAGGCCTTGTGTGAAGACTAGGGGAGAGTAGGTTAGGAACTCTGGGAGATACCTAGCCGCTAGCTCAGTAGGTGGGACTAGTTTTTTTTTTTAAAAAAAAAGCACAGCCAACCCCCTAGGAGCCCAAAGTCATTGGGCGGAGCTTCTGGGAGGGGTGATTGGCTGCCTTTGTGTGATGTCACTAGGGGCCCTAAGGTGAGGCTCCTCCTAAACTTTCGTGGTGGCTATTGGGTCTCAGGCACGTACTCGGGCTCACCTAGCTTTACGCTCTGCAGAAAGCGAGTTTAGCCTTTGGCAGTCTCTCAGCAGCCCCTGGCCTGCCCCCTCGCTGTGTCCTCTGCCCTTCACTTGCTACCGCCCAGTCCTGCTCCTGACGAGCCAAGGAACCGCTGAGCTCAGCTCTTCCCGCGGCCCTAGGCTCCGGGTGGCTGCCTTTGTCCCCGCCTCGCCCGCCTTTAAGTCTCTCGGCTGTGGCTCAACGCTGCGGGGGTGGGGACAGCCGCCCACATCATGCCAGCTACTGTTCGTTTGTAAGCGGAGGAAGCGTAGTGACCTCAGCCACGGTGCCAGATCCTGCCTCTGAAAAGCCTTGCCTGCGCCACCCTGCCTGCAGTTTGCCAAATGGCGAATAGGCCGGCTCTGTTCAGCGAGATGGGGGAGGGGGGCTTTCAGAGGGGGCCCTCTGTCATCCCTCCTAAGAGGGTGGAGAGAAAGGATAGAGAGATGATCTGCAGTGAGATTCACACTCTCCCTGAGCAGAAATGTCGCAAGATCTTTAGGCTGCCAGTCGTCATTGATAATAAGAAGGCAACTGGCTTGCGGGCCATAGTGTGCCAATTTCATTGTTTTAAATGTTGCATCTTTCCGCTTCCAGATTTTCTATTTTAGGATATATTCTAATCATTCGGTGATGGGTTTCCGTATGCCTGTCTCATGTACTTTGATCTTACACCCACCTCCCTTTTACGTTCCTGTTTCCTCCTGACTTCTGGTCTCCCTTTCCCCTTCAAGTCTTTTTTTTTTTAAGTTTTAATACTACATATGAGAGAAAATGTGATTGGGTTTCCTGGGCCCAACTTAGCAACCTTTAGGATCATTAGTCTATTTCCTGAAAATAACATAATTCACTCTTAGCAATGGCAGAATAGTATTTTATTGTGTTATACATACTTTTTTTTAAGCTATTGATCTACTGATGACCACATGGGCTAATATTCATAAGTTTGCCATTTTGAAAAAAAAAATCTGTAGTGAACATGGGTGTGGAGGCATCTCCATGGTCTGCTGCATTTGACTCCTTCAGGAATATACCTAGGAGAGGTATATCCAGTTCATAAGATAGTCTTTCTTGCTTCTCATGCTCTGTGCTTAAGGTGCACGCTCCCCTTGACTGTTCCCAGTCCTGGCCTAGTTGTAGCTCTCAGGGGCCCGTGGGACAGTTGGAAGAACCTGGCAACTGACCCCGACCCCTCCTTCCATGCTACTGGGAAGGATACAGCTTTGAGTGGTTGCCATCTGTGCCCGTCCCACTATAAAGAGAAACTTCTCCCTTCTGTAGGTCACTGCCACTTTGAGGACAACCCACAGAAGTGACCTCATCCAGAGTGGGACCAATGGAAGAGGCTGCCGGAGGGCAGGGCGATGTAGTTCTTAAAAAGCTAAAACCATATAGATCTATATAACCCAAGTGCAGGCTGAGGCCGTGAGAGGTAGGACAGAATCTCCTTGAGGGTTCAAAATCTCCACCAGGAACCAGAGATGAGCTCAGCTGTCACATGACACTGTGCCCTCCAGGGCAGGGCAGCCCAGTTCCCTGCTTGGTGCTGCCTGAACGGACATGGGGCGGACATGGGGCGTGCAATCCAGCTCTGACAGCAGCACCGGGGAGGAAGTCTGTAGCAACGTGGAGGTGGGGATTTTAGAGAGAGCAAAGAGGAAGATAGGAGAGTGCCGGTAGTCTCAGCCTGAGGAGAGACTGAAAGCCAGCCTTGTTTCTCACTACCTGAGTGACTTAGGCATGGTTCCTGCTGGGAAGTGGGGTCTAATACCCTAGCTCATACATCACCAAGGTCAAGTGATGGTGGGTGCCGGCTGTCCCACTACCCACACTAGGGAATGTCTGTGAGATCTTCGATCTTTGCTCGCTCCTACAGCCCCTCATCCACAAAATTGACACACTGTGCCTTGTCCAGACCAGTTGTTCTGAGAATTAGTGACTCACCCACTTCTCAAAAATTGCATCCTGGTGTTTTGAATAGACTAGCAAGAGGATAGATGGCTCTCTGATGTATCAGGATTATGGAACTGAAAACATAATCTCAGAGAGACCCCACAACTCTGGGCACCTAAAGCCCTGGCTGACCCTCTGTATACCCTCCCAGGCTACTCTCCCTGACTGTCTTCTTTGTTGCCCTCCTGGAATCTGGCTACTGAAGACCTTGGGAGGGCTCTGATAACAGGCCTGCTCCCTCTGCCCCCGGGGACATTGATTCAATCTTCTCCAATCACCGGCATTGCCATCTGCCTGCTGTAATTAAATGGTATTTGAACTGCATCCAGAAATCCCATCACAGGCTGCCACGTGGTGGGGAGGGTGTCTCCAGGAGCTCATGTTGTCTACGTAGTCAGAGTGTCCTCCCAGGATGCTGCGATGTCCCTTCACCAGAGAACACCCATGCACTCTGGGAGGAAGTATCCAGTTTTAGGCCCCACAGCCCTAGGGCAAAGCCAGATCTCTGATTTCTATGCTCTGCCGTGCCTCACTCTCTCCAGCTGCCCTGCTCTCCTGGCTTCCCACCACTCTCTGAGTCCTGGTTCTCAGTAGCAATGTGTACTGTGGGACTGAGGAAGGGCCAGTTCACTCAGCCTGCCTGGGCTTGAATGGCTCCTCACTGTCTGTGACTCTGAATGACACCATCTCAGCTTCCTTATCTGTCAACAGGACACTAGTAGAGACCTCCCGGGGGTTGTCATGAGGTCAAGAGTTAAAGATGCACCAGTTCATAGGCCTGGCCTGGCATGCTGGTGAGCCCTGTGTGTGTCAGAAGCCGCGGTTACGGCGGAAGTGGCAGTCAGCATAGGGGCCTGATGGGGGGGGGGGGCACGGGGGAAAGTTGGGGGAGGGGAAGAAAAGCTTCTAGTCTGAAGGTCCTGAGAGAATGAATAAGAATCAGTTTTGCTCTTTCTGTCAGAAAACAGTTCAGGTGAACAGGTGAAAGGCTAGGATGCTCGGCTCCTGAAGAAAGCCAGACTCCCACATAGGGACAGAGACTTGCCCAAGTACCTACCCATCAATCACACAGACACCTGCCCCTCCCCAGTCCTTATCCACAGCAGAGAGTAGCAACAGGCCTGGGTGCTCCTCACCCAGCTGACAGCTCTGAGTGGGTCTTTGGGGATGGAAGCAACTGGGACAAGGATATGATGGTGATTTGGAGGTGCTGGGATCTGCAGCTAGGCGCCTCTGGGCCATCATTGGTTGTTGGCCTGGGCCTTTCGTCTCTGGCTTAGAGAAAGGAGCCTGACAAACAGTTCATTGTAAGTGCACAGCCGATGGGGACACTAGTGTGAGTCCATGGCAGTAGAGCCTACTCCCACTCCTGCTTTGGGATGTCTGAAGCATACTTTCTGCCAGTCCTTGCATGCGCATGCTTACTGACTCATGCTTGGTTGCCATGGGGACCTCATCCTGGTGATGCAGCTTAGAGAAGGGAATGAGGGGTGGCTGGATGGAGACAGTTTAGCCCATGCCTGGCTTTCTACTCAGTACTGATACCACTTACCCTCCCACGTAGGGACTCCTCTTCTGAACCAGTGTCTGGAATGTGGGTCAACCTTGTGACTGGGCTCAGTATCCCCTCTCACTGCCTTGATAGGGTACTTTCCACTTGACCTAGGCTGCCCTAGTTGTGTTTGGGCTGGCCCTTCACTTTCTGGAAAGAACCAGCACTTGTGTCTAACAGTGCCACCAAGCCCTGGCACCTGGGAAGGTTGCTGCTGCTTTAAAGACCTTTGTAGCTTCCACAGGCCTCCGCCTCAGTTTTAGCCTTCTCCCAGACTCGCTCAGAAGAATGTGATCCAGAGTTGTAGGCTGCTGCCTGGTCTGTCTTTCTCTCTCTAGCGTTGGCTCTAAGCTTTATCGCTCTAGAATGGGTTAGCTATCATCTCCTTGCAAGAGGGATACTGACTTCCAGGCCTCCAGGAGTCAGGGGTTGTGGTGGTGATGGTGGTATGCCTTTGCCCAGGTTTGGCCCCTACACTCTCTGGTGTGCAACCTTGGACTATTCACTGAAACATTCTCAGCCTCATCTGGATAATCAGGTGAATAGATACCTCGTAGGTTTACAGCACAGAACACATGAATTAGTTTATACAGAACATACTTAACATACATTTGGGGTACCAGGCATTCAATCAATGTTAGCTACTACTGGTTTGGACAATATGCATATGTATTCCTGAAGCCATTCCCTGGGCCTTCATACTATCTCTCTTCCTTTCCTGGCTTGTGGGGTAGACAGAATTATGGCTGGTAATTTGAGAGGATGGTGTGTCACTTCTACCCAGTTGGATCTGACCCAGGGTTCTTTCCACCCTGAGCAGGATCCGGCCCCAGCTATCGAAGGAGAAGATTGAAGGCTGTCACATCTGTACTTCTGTTACCCCTGGAGAGCCCCAGGTCCTGCTGGGGAAGGACAAGGCCTTCACCTATGACTTTGTCTTTGACCTGGACACCTGGCAGGAGCAAATCTATTCGACCTGTGTGAGCAAACTCATCGAAGGTTGCTTCGAGGGCTATAATGCCACAGTACTGGCCTATGGACAGGTAAGCCACTCCTACCCAAACCAGTTAGCACTTCAGCTAACTTCTCCTGCCCAGTGGGGGAGATAGGCCCACAAGAGAGCAGTCAATCAAGGCCCGGTTGTGTGTTTTTGTCTGATATCTGAGTTATGACTGCAAGGCTGGCTAGCAGAGGCAGGCTTTCATCAGGGAATCCTATAGAGTTTGTCTCTGAGCTAGAAAAGGTTCACTGATCTAGAGGTAATAGGTAAGAGGATTTGCCCCAAGCTAAGGCTTGCTGGCTCCCCAGAGGGGACCGGTTACCACCTGTACTCTGTCTTTGCCCATGCAGACAGGGGCTGGGAAGACATACACTATGGGCACCGGCTTCGACACAGTGACGTCAGAAGAGGAGCAGGGCATCATCCCAAGGGCCATTGCACATCTCTTCAGGGGCATCGACGAACGCAAGCGGAGGGCACAAGAGCAGGGTGTGACTGGGCCTGAGTTCAAAGTCAGTGCCCAGTTCCTGGAGGTATGCCATGAGGGTGGTCGGGAGGGGGATATATCAGAACCTAAGACCATGGAAGCTGGAGCCCCAACCAGTGTAGAGAAATAAGCCCAGGAAACCCTGGAGATATCTACAGGGGATGAGTTCCCTGCTGTGGAGAGTTTCCAAGCGAGGACTAGAGAAACACTTGGTGTGGGTAGCTAAAATGTTTCCTGCTTCAGATGGGGCCTAAGATCTCAGACCTTGGCTGATTCTGGCCCTGGCCTGGTCATGACACCAGTCTGAACTCCTTCTGCAAAGTGGGCTTGACCTCTCTTTCCTTACGGGCTAGTAAGTCTGGCATGAAAGCCTATACCTGGCACATGGTGAGAACCCTGCTTCTGTCTCTGGCCTTCATGAGGTCCTTTCTCTGCTCCCCAAGTACCTACCTGGGGGATACTTGGTATCCTGGCCTCTCAGGACAGCAGAGTCTCCAGCAGAGGCTTTCCTTCATCTCTGGTCTGCCAGCTTTGGGAGGTATCAGCCTGAACTGTGCAGCCATGAGCTTTGGGGGGTACACAAGGGGATATCTGAGGTCTTTAACATTTAAGCTGTGCTGGAAACTCATAGTTTTGTAAATAGAGGCTCTGTCCTGGAGATGGCCTTCTTGAGAGAAGGCTCTAGCAAGGTGAGTCACCTTGGTATTTCGCACAGGAACCTGGCCAGGCTTTTCTGAAATATGTGGTCATGCAGTTCTGATTCCTAACATCTAGTTTCCTCTACCAAGGAACCTTGCTCTGGTGTGTTTAGTGGGTTTGGAGCCACCCTACTCTCTTACCTCCCAACCCTGATGCTTTTCCTAGATCTTGGCCCTCAGAGGGATGGACATGGCTGAGGCTTATCCCTGTATACTGCCCCAGTGTCTTTCCTGGGCACCCATGGCTGCTGCTTTCCCTGCAAGGGACCTGTATTTTAGTCCTTTCGGCTACATCTTTGTATATACGCACATAAGTGTGTACATGTGTGATTATATAAGTGAGTATGATTATATATGTGTGAGTATGCATGTGTGTATATGAGTGTTTGTGAGTGCATGTGTATACATGTATGTATGGATGTTGGTGTACATGAGTATGTGTGTTTCTTGCTGTCTGTATATCATTGAGCTTTTTCCTGTTTTCTTCCCTTTGCCATTCTGATGCTATGGAGAACTTCAAAGAGCATGCTAGCAAATCCAGGCCAGAGAGTGTACCACAAGAGGTTAACTGATGCAGTGTGCTTACACCAATACAAGACACACAGACACCATGAAACTCTGTCTCCTCCATCTCTTCCTTCTGTTTCCTCTTCCCCTTCCTGTGGGGTATTTTTGTCCTCTTAAGGCCATCAAAGCCTCAGATGTCTGAGGGCTGCAGTGCCCCCTCTCTGTCTCCGTAGGACTCTGTTGGCTGCTGCCCTTCTCCAATACCCCCACCTCACTCCCATCCCATCCCCACCCCTGGCTTTTGACATCACAGTCTTTCTGCAGTTGATTTCCCACAATTCCAATCTTCTAACCCCAGGAATCGCCTTGGCAGACACCATTTGAAATGGGCTGGCACAATGGTCTTGCAGAAGGCTGGGCCACACTGCCTGATTTTGTTCCCTCTGCTCCTGGTCATTGGGCAAGGCACACAGCCATTCGTCCCCCATCTGAAGTTGCCATCCCTTCTCCTTCAGGCATCATGGCGCTCAGGGCTTCAGCGCTCAGGGCTTCAGCGCTCAGGGCATTGTTTCCTTGGTCTCTTCAAGCCTGTCTTCCTTCATCTGGAATCACAGCCTCGTGCCTTCTCTGCCAGCCTGGCAACCATGATGAGATCCTTTCCACTCAGGCTCATGGCTTCCTCATCCCTAAACACCTAGGACCTGCATCCTTTGCCCTCCTCAGCCTCCCCTTGGAGCTGCTGGATGCTGTTCCTCGGAGGGAGTAGGGCAGCATGTGCAGCCTCAGGATAGCACTGTTGGGAGGACCGGGGTTCAGCAAGTTAAATTCCAGAGCTTGTTTCCACTTTAGCACATTGAGATGCCCTCAGGGCTCTGGGCATGTACCATATGACCCCAGCCATGGTTTCTTCCCCACCACAGCTCTACAATGAAGAGATCCTTGATCTGTTTGATAGCACCCGTGACCCCGATGCCCGCCACCGCAGGTCCAACATCAAGATCCATGAGGATGCCAACGGTGGCATCTATACCACAGGTGTCACTTCTCGCCTGATCAACTCCCAGGAGGAGGTGAGCATCTCATACATGGGCATCTTTAAAGGCCGGAGCCTTACAGCACATGGGACCTGAGTCCTCCCCTCTGCGTCTGTCCCCAGCTGATCCAGTGCCTGAAGCAGGGCGCCCTGTCACGCACCACAGCCAGCACCCAGATGAATGTACAGAGCTCCCGATCCCATGCCATCTTCACCATCCACCTGTGCCAGATGCGAGTGTGTGCCCAGCCTGACCTGGTGAGGTGCTCTTGGGGACCCAGGAGCTTCATACTCTAGGGATGTCTCAGGGGCAGGACAAACAAACATGGAACTCCAGAGGCGGGGCTTGCCTCTATCACTCAGTTTTTATTTCTCTTCAGCCTCTCACCTCATCTATGCAATGGCATGAGATGGAGTAATGTTAGTGTGCCCAAGTAGTGTCTGCTCTCAGGTGCTGAGCACACATTGAGGGTTGCTGCTGTGCAACCTACCCTTTCTCTCGTGGATGGTGGCACTGTGGGGCGTGAGCGGTGGTACTGTGGGGTGGAAGGCTAGCAGAGGAACAGGAGGTAGGGTTTGAGCGAGCTGGATGTCACCTTCTACTGCAGGTGAATGAGACGGTGACTGGGCTTCCGGATGGAGCGGCCCCCACGGGCACTGAGTATGAGACACTCACTGCTAAGTTTCACTTTGTGGACTTGGCCGGCTCAGAGCGGCTGAAGCGGACAGGGGCCACTGGCGAACGGGCCAAAGAGGGCATCTCCATCAACTGTGGTCTGGTAGGCATACTGAGAGTCACCCGCCCCAGGACCCAGATGGCACAGACTAAGACAGGCCAGTTACTTCAATGGCTGCCCAGTTATCTTTGGGCTCCTAGCTACTGACCAGAGCACTCAAAGGACCCTATTGGCTCGTCCCTTCACCCTCATCATATCTCTATGAACCCACCCAGGAGCCTGAGTGTTGCGCTTGCTGCCTTCCTTGTGTGACTCCTGAGCTCAGGCTCTTTCTCCCACAGCTGGCCTTGGGCAATGTGATCAGCGCCTTGGGGGACCAGAGCAAGAAGGTCGTGCACGTGCCCTACAGGGACTCCAAGCTCACTCGGCTGCTCCAGGACTCTCTTGGAGGCAACAGGTATCTGTTGACCAAGTCCAGGGAGGGTGGGGAAGTTCCTGGATGCAGAACACTGACACAGGCTTAGGTCCTGACTCCCAGGCAAAGGGGACCTTCTCAGCCTAGGCTGTGAGGGGTTCAGTGACTTGTGGCTAGGTAGACTCTGTTTCATTGTTTCACAGATGTAGGGACAATGCTTAAAGGCAGCCATATAGTCCAATAAGACGAGAAATGGGAAATGCCAGGCCACCAGAGAGGCCGCGACACACTTTTGTCTCCAAGCAGAGGACTCTGCCATTAGGCCTCACCCCTTGTTAACTGTTTTCAAAGGGTTTCTTCTCTTGCTATGGAAGATCTTAGTCAGGTGGTCCAGGGTCCCACATCCCAGGTTCTAGGTCCTTTAAGTGTTAAATTGCATAAAGGAGGGTCCGGGTGAAACAGACCCTCCGCTGTGGAACAGTGCTTCTGGGTCTGGCTTTGTCCTTCATCCTTACCCAACCTGGTTACACTCTTAGCCAGACCATCATGATCGCCTGTGTGAGCCCTTCAGATCGGGACTTCATGGAGACACTTAACACTCTCAAATATGCCAATCGGGCTCGAAACATCAAAAACAAAGTGGTAGTGAACCAGGACAAGACCAGCCAGCAGATCAGCGCACTGCGAGCTGAGATCGCACGCCTGCAGATGGAGTTGATGGAATACAAAGCGGTGAGCACTCCCCTACCTCAGGCATGCCACCCACGAGGGGTCGATGCCCTGCTCCACACCCTGCCCGATAGCATCCCACAAGCAGATTCTATGTGGGCCTCCCAACTTTGCAGCGCCCATCCATCCTCGTGTCTGCTAGACACCACTGTGCACCAGATGTGGTTCCCAGTCCTGGGGTTTGTGGCAAAACCAGTTCAGGCTGAGCTGTCTAGGCTTACAATACACAGTGCAAGAAATAGAACACCCTGGCTTTGTAGCAAGGGTGTTTGGTTGAGGGAAGGTGCTTCTCAGGTGCTTTTGTTTGTCCACAGACTGTGTTGCATTGGAATAGATGAGACTGGCCCACTGTGGTGACACTGGGGACACAGGAGTTGCCCTGTGTGTTGTAGGGGCAGAGGAGTGGCCTACTTGCGGTAGTGGTGTGCGGGGTGGGATTTTATGGAAGGGGCATGCATGTGGATTTTGAAAGACAAATGAGATATCAACAGAAGGAGGCCAGCAGGCATTCTGGGTAGAGAGCAAACCATAAGAAAAATACAGCAGAAGGAAGGAAAACAGGTGCTTTGAGGGCCACGTGTAATTCTAATATCCAAGGCTGACATCACCCACTGGTCATACCTGGTCTGAATCCGGCACACAGATGGGCGGGTTTGTACTTGGTTTCAGAAGAATGCAGCCTATTAGATAACTTTTCAGAAAGTCAGGAAGTCTCAACATCTGTGGAAAATTTGTCTCTGCTAGCAACTGGCATTAAGTTGGCTGCAGTGTGTAGCAATGTCATGATTTATTATATGAAGAAATTTCACAATTCACACACAAACAAACTACACATTTACAGTCATAGCCTGTTGGTAAGCAACCAAGAGCCACTGACCGCTTTTGGTAACCCAGAACACAGACAGTCAAGGAGAGAAGTAGGTGGTGGCAAATCCTGCACCGCTAAAATTTTACCCTTATAGTAAGTAGTCTCTCTTCTTCGACAAAGCAGCGAGTATAGTAACATCTGTGGGCAAAAAATAGAGGGGGATTTTAACAGGTGGAATTTGTCAGTTTACAACATTTAACTTTTTATTTATACAACAGAGAACTCTGTAAGTCCAACGTCTTGGTGACGTTATGCAGTTAACTGTTTCAGCTTTAAGGTAGGCAGTTAAATGTAAGAGAGGAGGGATATCAAGAGAGCGGCTGCCTCTTTTACACTGTCTGTGATTTTTTCTCCACTGCAGTCCCCACCACTCCTTGCTGTCTTACACGCAGGCTGACTCACCCATGTATGCCAATTGACTGGCCCCAGTAAGGTTTTGACATTTGGACTATAGTGTTCTAGGATAATGAAAGTGACTAATAGCTGGATAAGTCAAGAATTTGGACATTTTTTGTTGTCAGGGAGAGAACTGTTTGGTTGGTTGGTTTGGTGTTGCTTTTAGGAGGAAACTTATTATGTAGTCCAGGTTTGCCTGGAACTCATTTTGCCCAGGCTGGCCTTTAATTTGTGATCTTCAAGTCTCAAATTTCAGGCACTGAGATTATAAGGCATGAGCTCCCAGGGAGCCCTCAGTGAGCCCCCATATCCAGTGCTCTGTAAGGCTTTGGGGCCTTAGGAGACAGGAACTACATTAGGAAACCTGGAGACAGACAGAGCCCCACCCTGTCCTGGGGAAGGCAGAAGCCAGGTGGAAGAGGATTGTCTCTGTATCCTACTATGAGATTTAGTACCTGACTGCCCTCTGCCTGTCTCCATCCCAGGGCAAGCGAGTAATCGGGGAGGATGGTGCAGAGGGCTACAGTGACCTGTTCCGGGAGAACGCCATGCTACAGAAGGAGAATGGGGCACTGCGGCTCCGAGTGAAGGCCATGCAGGAAGCCATCGATGCCATCAACAACCGGGTCACACAACTCATGAGTCAGGAGGCCAACCTGCTTCTGGCCAAGGCTGGTGAGTTGGGGTACGGCAGACTAGCTCGGAGCAACAACATGCCCCTGACCCCTGGAATCAAGCAGGCTATGGCAGCCAGCCAATGCACAGATTAGTTCATTTATGCGTTTTCCCAACAATTTAGCATGACACACACACAGGCTTCTTCTTAAACATGTAAGAGACACAGTACATTAAGCAAAGGATGAAAATCCCCTCAGCAGACTCTCCACCCACATCCTCTCTGCTTCTAGAAGAATCCTTCCTGAGCAGCTGAGCATGTTTTCCCACGGTTTCTCAGTACATTTGTTTTGAGTATAAATGCATTTAGATATATCATGTGTACGTGTGTGAATATGCATTGCATTTTCTCTATATGAGATCATACTTTCTATTTTATGACTTCCTTTTTTCGTTTCGCAGCATGTCTTACAAATCTTCATATCCAAAGCCACTTAATTTTTTAAATGACTGCATGACGGCCCATCTGTGACGTTGAATAATTTATTGAACAGCCTCTATTGATGGGTGTTTAGATTGTTTCCAATGTCATGCCATTATCCAACAGTGCTTGGATACAACTCTGATCATGTTCAAGTATTTCCTTCACGTAGATTCCGTTGTGGAGAGGCCTGTGTGAGCAAGCACTCTGGAGGTTCCTGCAAGTCTTAGAGCCACGCCCCAGTTCTTGCTCTTGTCACCTGCTTTCTTTATTGTTTCTGTCTATCTTCTCCATCCAGGTGATGGCAATGAGGCCATTGGTGCTCTGATCCAGAACTACATCCGGGAGATTGAGGAGCTTCGGTGAGTAAGTCCGTCCAGTACAAGCAGGCTGGATGGCCTTGGCCGGGCTAATTTTATGTGACTCACCTGGTCCCACCCACCCACTCTGTCCACACAGAACCAAGCTCCTGGAGAGTGAGGCTATGAATGAGTCTCTCCGAAGAAGCCTCTCCCGGGCTTCCACTCGGAATCCCTACTCCCTGGGGGCATCTCCAGCAGGTCCAGCCTTTGGGGGCAGCCCGGCCAGCTCCATGGAAGATGCTTCTGAAGTGATCCGCAGGGCCAAGCAAGACCTGGAGCGGCTGAAAAAGAAAGAGGTCAGGCAGCGGAGGAAGAGGTGAGTGGATTGTTACCACCTCCCCCGACAGCCAGAACATTCAAAGGTGGACCCCCCCAACCCTATCCAGGAAGACTGCTCCCCACCCCATCTATAGGAGGACCATGCCTACCCCCCCGGGGGGTAATTCTTAAACATTTACTCAATTTGGAGGAAAGATACCTCTTCAGCCTTTTCTTGTGTGCATCTCCACCAAGGTCAATTTCAGGGGATAGAGTAGGGGAGGTGGTAGATGCTGGAGAAGAATTGACATCCTCTACAAAGCAGGAACCTCCCACCAGCAAACTGGCATTATTCCCTAACTGGGCTTCATTTTCCTTCCAAAGCAGCCCAGAGAAAGAAGCCTTCAAAAAGAGAGCAAAACTCCAGGCAGAAAATAGTGAGGAGACAGATGAAAACGAGGCTGAGGAGGTGAGGACTACCCTGACCCTCCATGGGCTCACCAGCATGTCCCTGTTGGGGTAGAGACTCCATCAGTGTTATTGGGGGTGGGGCAGGGAGTTGCCTTTAGTTGATCCTTGAGTTTTTTGGTAATGCTGACTTGTTGCCATGGTGATCTCCATCCCTCGGGCATTTGCCTCATCTCAAATGGATGATGCTAGACTGACCATCCTCCACAAGGGCTGTGCCCAGGCTACCAGGAGTGGATGGTCTCCCAGAGGAGGGCATGGCTAGCTCCCATCCCTGAGGTCTGTGTCTGTCCCAGCCTCTGCCTCGGGGCTCCCATCACCCCTGGCCGGTGCAACCCTGATGGTACTTTGTGCCTAGGAGGAGGAAGAGCGAGATGAGAGTGGCTGTGAGGATGAGGAAGGGCGCGAGGATGAGGATGAAGACTCGGGCAGTGAAGAGAGCCTGGTCGACTCAGACTCTGACCCTGAAGAAAAGGGTGCGTGGGCTGGGGCTGGGGAGATGTGTTGCTGCGGCCAGTCGCCAATGTGGGACTGTTGATCAGAACGGGGCTTCCCAAGAAGAAATTCAGATGGATCTGGGTGGGGTCAGGCCTACGAGAGAGCACAGAAACTGCTTGTCTAGACAGGGCTAAGACTCCTGAATGAGAAGCCAAGAAAAGCAATAGTAAAGACAAATAATGGGCAAATAATGGGAGGGAAGCATTAGCTCTCGTTCCATGCCCACCGCCGTGCTCAGTCTGACCCTTCAGAAGGCTCGAGGAACCCAGTGCTCACTATTACCTTGGGCAAAGGTATTAGGCTCCCCTGAATCACCACTGAGCATGCTCAGAGAGGTCCCTGACCCACTTTGATGGATTCAGAGCCAGGGTGTTTGAATGACTTCAGCTGGTCAAGACCCCCCTCCTTCATGTGGAGACATCTGTCCTTCAGCTCTGTCCTGTCGTCATCTCTCACCCACAACCCTACAAGGTGCTCTGGGCCACTTTACCCTCCCCCCCCACACACACCCAGGCAGAGTCCCATGTCATCAGTCATGGTGACATAGGCCTATGAGGCCATCAAGGTAGGAAGGGTGTTAGACTCCCTCCAAGCTCCTGGGCCCAGCTGTGTATTTCTGATGCGGCTCATTAAATGTATTGTCCTACCTGGCAGCACTCTGCCCCCCCCCCCCCCCCTGCTTGGACACTGATTGATCACTGCTGACCAAAAGATGTCCACCCACGGCACTCAAACTGTCAAGTCTGCCACCTTGCCCCGTACCTGGCACGGGGCTGAGTCTGGCTCTGTCTGACTCTGCAGAAGTAAACTTCCAGGCGGACCTGGCGGACCTGACGTGTGAGATTGAGATCAAGCAGAAGCTGATCGACGAGCTGGAGAACAGCCAGCGGCGGCTGCAGACGCTCAAGCACCAGTACGAAGAGAAGCTCATTCTGCTGCAGAACAAGATCCGAGACACACAGCTGGAGCGCGACCGCGTGCTGCAGAACCTCAGTGAGGCCAGAGCCATGCGTCTCTTCCCTGACCCCCTGTCTTGCCAAAAGAAACCCACCATACTAATAATACCTGGTCTCGTGCACAGGGACCTTTGAGCGAAGCACTGTGATCTTTTGCTCGTAGTTAAAAGTTCTTGTGTCTCACCCAGTTTCTCTGCTACTTTTGTTTTAAAATTACATTTGGAGCATGTGTGTGTGTGTGTGTGTGTGTGTGTGTGTGCGCGCGCGCGCGCGCGTGCATGTGCACACATGCTTCTGTGACATGACACACACATAGAGGTCAGAGGACAACTTGCAGAAGAATTCTTCTGTCTCCTTCCACCATCTGGGTCCCAGGGATTGAACTTTGATCATCAGGCTTGGCAGCAAGTGCCTGTATATGCTGAGCTGTCTTGACAGCTCTGCCATCCCTTTTTTGAGACAGAGTCTTGCCATGTAGCCCAGGTTGGCCTCAAACTTGTAGTAATTTTTCTGCCTCAGCCTCCCTGGTGGTAGAGCCACAAACAGCTGTTACTATGCTCCCTTGCTTGCGCTCTCTCTCTCTCTCTCTCCATCTTATATATTAAAATCTGTAATCCTTTATCTCCCTAGGCATGTGACTAAGACACCTCCCAACCCCCCACTTACTATGTTCAGTTTATAAGACTTCCCAAATTGTGTCTTTTCTATCACTCTGCAGCCCTCTCAGCCGGTGATTCATTTCCTCATCCACTTGTTAAGCAAATGTTAGCTGAACATGTATTATAGAGCAGGTGTTATTCTAGGGGCTAGAGTTGTCTGCTTCCTGCTGGCACTGCCTTTCCAGGGACCGAAGCCTCAGTCTGAAAACACTACATTGAACGTCAGAGCAGAAAAGTTAGGGCAACTGCTGAACCCACATCCTCATTGTTCAAACGAAGAAGCAGGCTCAGGGAAGGGTCAACTGTAAGATCAGACCCCAGCGCCTGACTCCCCAGTGAGCATGTATTTAATGGGATCCACACAGCCTGTGACTCTGACCCTGCTTTCCACCATCCTCAGGTACTATGGAGTGCTACACGGAGGAGAAGGCCAACAAGATAAAGGCGGATTATGAGAAGAGGCTGCGGGAGATGAACCGGGACCTGCAGAAGCTACAGGCTGCTCAGAAAGAGCATGCCAGGCTACTCAAGAACCAGTCTCGCTACGAAAGGGAGCTGAAGAAGCTTCAAGCGGAGGTAGCCGAGATGAAGAAGGCCAAGGTAGGCAGACAGTATGAAGAGTGGGGCCAACGGACCTATACTGTGTCTTAGAGTCCGTACTCCACATCGAATAGTATCACTGCTGTTCAAGTGAGGATTGTCCACTGAACACACAGCATCACCTGACCCAATCCTGCCCCAGCCACGCATACCCTCCTAGCAACCTCATCCCAGTACTGGGTTCATTGCAGACACCCTGCTCATTGCTGCCTCCTGTGTTGGGAAGCTGTACTACAGTTGCCTCCTGTCTGCACAAGGAAGCCTGGAAGCCTCATTTGGTACAACCCTTGCTTCTAATCATAGTAATAATCGGCACCATGGCCAGCTCTTAGCTAGGCGTTATTTTGTGCTCAGTTACAGGAGAATGCCATTCCCACTGTGTTTGTGGAGATTTGAGGCTCAGGGAAGTTAGTTCTTGCTACACCAGGAGATAGTTCTGGCATATAAATTCTGCCCTTGATGTTCCAAACTGATGTGTGTTCTTGGCGACTCTGGGCTCCATTTTCTACTTTGGCACAGCCCACAGGGCACAGTCTGTAGGATCTCCTCTCTTGATGTCAGTGACTCAGGTCTTGAACTTCTGGTATCTGGTATCTGGCTTCAGTTCCTGTCTGGGGCTCGCAGATCCTTGCTCTGTGAATATCCTTTCTCATCCTGGGACCTTTCTGCCCTGGCCCTTAGCTTCTGTTGTGTCTCAGCTCTCCACAGCCCTGGGCTAAGCTCTGGGGCTAGACCCCCTAACAAAGTCTGGCAAAGGTGGTATCCCCTTGGGGACTCAGGACTCGTTAGTAACTGTGTCTTCACTGCTGTCCTGACTCACGTTGAACCAGTGTGCACAGGAAAGAGGCAGTTATCCATTTTAGAGGAAATGGAACTGGACGGGCTCTGTCCCCAAGCAGGTCCAGAGCCTTTGTCTGCTGAAGTCTCTACCTTGCTGAGATCAGCCCAGCATGGCCCTGAATAGCCCATGTTCACTTTCTACTTCAGTGCTTCCGCCTTGTAGACATGAAGCCATTGACAGTAAATGGCATTGGGATTCAAATACCCACAGATCTCTGGGGTCCCTGGAACCCTTTGGAAAAGCAGACAGAGGGCCTAGTGAGCTTTATCCCCAGGCTATCTGTAGTTCACTGTAACCAGGGCCTTCAACAGGCATTACTGAAGCAACTTTGACATGCTTGTCTTCGTTCATGTTCCATCCATCCGTCCATCCGTCTATGTCTCCTCATCCTCCCCACCCCCTTACTGGTGCCTCTTCAGGGTAGTCCCAACCTCTCCTTAGCTAGCTCTCGTCTTGAGTGGGTATGACCCTAGAAAAAGCTCAAAAGGGAACACTTGCATGGGGTTCTGAAACTTGGAAAAAAAAAACAGCCAAACATCCAAGACATGGTACAAAAGACAGAAGAATCCACACATATGCTTGTTCCTCGTCCTTGGGCTCTGAGACCCTTCATCTAGGACTTCTCTGTCCACCTGACTACACTCTTGTGATCCCAGGTCTATGCCTGGGGTTATCTAGGGGTGCCCTAACAGGGCCCCGATTCTTCACTAGATGGATAGAAAGAGCATCAGCCAAAGACTGCATGCCGAGCCTGTGTCTTGGGAGTCCTCACTGGGTGAATCACACAGCTTCAGGGTCTCTTGTCTTAGAACAACTGAGCCATGCTGTCTCAGTCCTGAGGCCCATTTCAGCACTCTCGTGTGCCTGGAGAGCAATCACTCACCTCCCTGGAATGATGGATGCAGCCACACTTGCTGGCCATACAGTTGAGCCTGGAGGTGGGAAGATGACCCAGGCTCCAAGTCTAGCCAGCCATTCCTAGCTCTGCAACTGTTAGTCATTTTGTCTTGAAGGCTCATTTCTTTCTTTATAAAACAGGAGAGATGTCTTTCTCCTATGAGCATGACAAAGATGGGGCCTGCCATGTGGACAGCTTTCATTGTGCTGCTATCCCTTTGAGATGGGCCCTGGAATCTTCAGCCAGGCTGAGGATGGTGGCTAGGATAGCCTTTAAGTGGAAAGACTAGTTTTTTTTTTTAGCAGCTTGTCAACATATAATATACCTTAGCCCCTGAGGATGAGCAGGAAGGAAACCTTATGTTTTAGACTCTCCAGTTCATGCTGTTTAGAAGACCACTCCCCCGGCTAGTGCCCCCACTACCAGCTACTGAGTGAGGCACATGGGCCACTCCTGCCTAGCCCTGCCTCACCTCCATTACCTCTGCCTTCACAGGTTGCCCTCATGAAGCAAATGCGTGAGGAGCAGCAGCGGCGGCGACTGGTGGAAACCAAGAGGAACCGGGAGATTGCTCAACTCAAGAAGGAGCAACGGAGGCAGGAGGTGAGAGGCCTCTGGGAGCTTTCAGCCACCCCTCCCTACTGATTGCTCTTCTCCCCCGACACCTGCCAGTTCCTAGTGTTCCAAGTGACAAGAGCCATGCTTGGAGCAGAGTATAACCCTTCAGAAAGGCAGAGCCACTACTGGCTTCTGCCCCAACCTCTACATGTCCAAGAAGATAACTTGAGTCCAGAGAAGGGCAAGAATGTGCCCAAAGTCACCTGCAAAATCAGACACATGGAGCTCCAGGCCCAGAAGAACTAGCCTAGGAGGACTGGGCCTCTAGTGCAGGTTCGTGTATATGGTAGGAGATAATACCAGGATAATTGTTCCTGTGGGCAGGAATTCCTCATAGTCACCCTGGTAGAAGAGTGTGACCCTGGGTACTATTTTATCTAGTTTGGCTGTGTGAGAATCACCCCACACAAGAAAATCTTGAGCCTTTGGCTCCAGAGCTTCCCACCCTGTCCCCATTCCTGTCTGGACAGAAAGTGGTTGTACACACCTTTACTCCCAGCACTTGAGAGACAGAGGCAGGTGAATCTCTGAGTTCAAGGCCAGCCTCGTCTACAGAGTGAGTGAGTTCCAGGATTGCCAGGGCTACATGGAGAAACCCTGTCTCGAACCTCACCCCCAGTCCCCCAAAAGCATTGCTGTTGGTGGCTGAAGGTGGCCCAATCCTTTTCTTTTCAGTTTCAGATACGGGCTCTGGAATCTCAGAAGCGCCAGCAGGAAATAGTTCTGAGGAGGAAAACTCAGGAGGTGAGCACTCTCAACAGGCAGCCTGGTTGTACAGGACTAGGCCTGGCTCTGATGTTTGCTCTCCTCTGAAGAAGTAGGGGGAGATACCCCCATGCTACTTGTGGACTGGATCCTTTTCATTCATTGAGCACAGCCTTGGCAATTTGTAGCAGCCTATGAGAAATGGTTTCTCAGCCAGTGAGCTGCGCCTAAAGGGTAGAATCCACATCCCGACCTCAGCACCTAGCTGGTCATTTACAAAAGAGCGAAAAGGCCTAGTGAGATGGCCTCGTCAGTAAATTACTTACCACATAAGCACGAGGACCTGTGTTTAAATCCCCAATACCCACACTAACAACTGGGGCGTGGGCAAGACAGGTGGATCCCAGAGCTCACTGACCAGCCAGGGTAGCTAACTGGAGAGCTCTAGGCTCATTGAGAGACGTTGTTCTGGAGTGTAAGAGGGACAATAGTAGAGCAAGATACGCCACACCCTTGGGAACACATGTGCATACATATCTGGACACACACATGCACATACACCCATGGGGGGGAGAATTTTATGTTTATTTTATATCACAGACATCTTAGCCCTTTATAGCCCCAAGCCCAGGCCTGTGCTTCTTTTCTCCCCAACACCTCATTCCAGGCTTTCTGACCCTCCAGACTTCCTCGCTCCCTGGGTCCCCTCTTCCTGTCCCTCCAGGCTTCTTTACTCATTGGATTCCCCTCTTATTGTCCCCACTTTCCCCAGGTTTCTGCACTGAGGCGCTTAGCAAAGCCCATGTCTGAGCGAGTGGCTGGGCGGGTAGGATTGAAGCCCCCCAATATGGATTCTGGGGCTGAGGTGTCTGCCAGCACTACCTCGTCTGAGGCTGAATCAGGAGCCCGCTCTGTCTCTAGCATAGTGCGTCAGTGGAACCGAAAAATCAACCACTTCCTGGGGGACCACCCTACAGCCACTGTCAATGGCACCCGCCCAGCCAGGTGAGGAGTCCAAGTGCTCTGTGGGCAGAACCAGGGTGAGGAAGTGTGAAGGTCGGGGAAGAGCCCTGGTGCCTGGGCTACCTGCTTCCGGCTCTGGGGAGGGGCCTCAGTGGAGCTGCAGAGAGGTTCAGAGCAGTCAGCCAAAGCCCCTTTGCCTCTACCTCCCAGAAAAAAGTTCCAAAAGAAGGGAGCCAGCCAAAGCTTCAGTAAGGCTGCGAGACTCAAATGGCAGTCCCTGGAACGGAGGATCATTGACATCGTCATGCAGAGAATGACCATTGTCAACCTGGAGGCTGATATGGAGCGGCTCATAAAGGTGGGACTTACCTCCCATCTCTCTCACCCATGCTCCACATGTCGGCTCACTCCCCACTTCTCTGGCTCCTCACTCCTTCCCTTGTCTCCCACCCTCTGCTCCTCATGCCTCTTCTGACCTCTGGACAACCCCAGACAGGAGAGTCACTCGGTGTAGGGGCTGTGGGCAGTGCCTGTGCCTGAGAGGCATCATCCATCACTATCCTCTCCCCCACCCCATTCCCAGAAAAGGGAGGAGCTCTTCCTCCTACAGGAGGCGCTTCGGAGGAAGCGGGAGCGCCTTCAGGCTGAGAGCCCAGAGGAGGAGAAGGGACTTCAGGAGCTGGCTGAGGAGATCGAAGTGTTGGCAGCCAATATTGACTACATCAATGACAGCATCACTGACTGCCAAGCCACCATCATGCAGCTTGAAGAAACCAAGGTGCCCACAGGACCTGGCCTGGCTGGGTGGGGGTGGTAGCAATGAGTGGGTGGACAGCCCTGTGTGATGCAATTTCTGCTTTTTGAACTCTTAAAGGAGGAGCTGGACTCAACAGACACATCAGTGGTCATTAGCTCCTGCTCTCTGGCTGAAGCCCGCCTACTGCTAGACAACTTCCTCAAGGCATCCATTGACAAGGTGAGCTGCCGGCTTCCCTGGCACAAGACAGGCATTGCATACCCTGGTAGTGAAGTCCATGGGTTTGGCTCCTTCCCACCTGCGTCATTCACAGGCTGGGACAAGCTACTGAATCTGCAAGCCTCAGGTTCTGTGGCTATAAAACCCAAACGTTGACAATACAGAACTTGTAGCTGGTTGTACAGAATGCTGCACTGAGGGGCTTGGCACACTACAGAGCTTCAATTAAAGGTGTCCTGGCCCGGGCCCATCCACAGCAGGACTGGGCTTGGGTCTGTTGGAGACAGAGAGAGAAGTGTGTGTACATTAGGAATTGGGGAACAGGAAACAAAACTTATATTCCACCCTCTGCCAAACAGAACATCAGGAGTCTTTTGAGCCCCTCTCTTTAATCAATGGTCAGAGAATATGTTACCTTCTGTCCTAGGACCCAAGTCATGAGGACAGACACCAGCCAGTGTACATACATATAGTTAACTGGAAAGAGGTTAGGAGGCCACCCTGCCTGACTCTTAGCTAGACCCTCAGTGGCTCCTCAGAGTTGCTTTGTGGCTTAGGGGACTGTGTTAGTGTTCAAGGGTTGCCATGGACAACGTGTCACAGACAGGGCGGCTAGGGCAATAGGGCTTTACTACGTCTAAGATCCAGATGTCAGCAGGGTGGTTTTTCCTGTAGCCTCCCTCCTTGACCATTGTTTCCTCCTCATGTTTTCACATAATCTTCTGTGGGGCTTGTCATGATCTATTATTATAAGGACACCAGTCAGACTATATTAGGGACCACCCTATGACCTCCTATCATCCTGGTTCCCACTCTAAGGGACCTGTCTCCAAGTACAGTCAGGTTTTGAGGTAACAGGGGTTGGGACTTCTGCATATGAATGAAGGGTCACAAGTCCACCCATAACAGAGCATATGCTAAGGTGACTGTCCCTAACTGTATATAGGAGTCTAGGGCTACAGCATTAACCAACCACAGGCCAGGAAGAATAAGCCCAAGCCTTGTTCTTTCCCTCCAGGGACTTCAAGTAGCACAGAAGGAGGCCCAGATCCGGCTGTTGGAAGGACGTCTGAGACAAACAGACATGACAGGCTCTTCCCAGAACCACCTGCTCCTAGATGCTTTGCGTGAGAAGGCTGAGGCGCACCCCGAGCTACAGGCCCTCATCTACAATGTTCAACATGGTACGCATAAGTGTAGGGAAAGCTCCCCTGCCTCTGGATTCCCTCAGAAGCTTTGGTCTGATCCTACTGGGTGAGATGCCAGAAAGAGGCTGTGTTTTCTTTCCCCATACTCTGATAGCGTCTCTCAACCTCCTTCCTTCTTTCCCTCCCTCAGAGAACGGCTATGTGAGCACAGATGAGGAAGTTTCAGAGTTCTCTGAGGGGAGGTGAGTTTTCAAGGAGGGGGTTGGAGGCGTGCACCTGGGGGGTGGAAGAGGCATCACCATAGGGCCCCGGGGCTGAGCTTGGATTGCAGGCTCTTTGGGACCCAGATATGTCTAAGTCCTAGAGAGAAACTGTATAAGTAGCATGGTCCTAAACTCTCTTGGCTTCTTCCTTAGCTTTTCCCAGTCATTCACCATGAAGGGCTCCACCAGCCATGATGACTTCAAGTTCAAGGTAAGCCCTGCTGGAAAACAGGCTCTAGGTTTTCCTCTCAGGGCCAACCTCCCAACCTAATCTCTATGCCTGTAGTTTCACACCCTGAGCCCCAATTCAATTTTATCCTAATCAGGAATGGAAGGTGCCAAGAAGGATCTTGCCTGGGATTGGGGGCGGGGAAGGTGAAACTAACCTGGAATTTGCTATGTAAACCAGGCAGCCCACTCTTTTTCAAGATGAGAAAAACGACTAGAACAACTAAAAGCTTCTTTCTACTCTGCCTCATGTCATGACTGTACCCAGGGACCCTGCTTTACAGAACGTCTCCTTCCCCACTGAAGACCCAGGGTCAGAGCTGACTCCAGATCCCTGGTTATCTTTCCTGTAGCTATTCAATTGCATGAAAGTCAAAAGGAGAGTTTTCTTAACAGCAAGCGGTTAGTGATGAGGATGGACCAGCACTCAGGGCTTATTAAAGTCAGACTTAGGAAACTGCAGACTGTGCTGCGAGCAATGAGTTGTGCCTAGTCCTGGGTGAGCTGACTGAAATTCAGTCTGGACGCTTCTTGGTTTGCGTAGTCTAGCTCAGGGCTTCCATCAGCAACTCTCCCTCAGACCAGGCAGTATCATTTTCCTCAGAATTTACCCACCTCTCGGTGGTCCTTTGCTCTGCTCTGCTTTTCTCCCCCTGACTAGAACCTCAGCCTCCTGTGTACCTGGGGTTGCAGGTCTGGGTCATCAGGCCAAGTTCTCACTTTCCCTTTATGGTCCGTCCATCAGTTGGGCAAATTGGTTCACTCATCCTTCCTTTCCTAGGGGGAGCCCAAGCTGTCTGCACAAATGAAGGCCGTGTCTGCTGAGTGCCTAGGACCCCCATTGGACAGCTCCACCAAGAACATCACCAAGTCCCTGGCCTCCCTCGTTGAGATCAAAGAGGATGGGGTGGGCTTCTCTATCCGGGACCCTTACTACCGGGACAAGGTCTCTCGCACCGTCAGCCTGCCCACCCGGGGCAGCACTTTGTAAGGAGGGGGAGCCAGGTACATGGGGTTAAGACAGGTAGAAAGTTAGGTCTCAGACTCACTGGAACCTTCTTTTCCAGCCCTCGGCAGTCTCGAGGTGCCACGGACACGTCCCCTCTGACCCGACGGAAGTCTTATGACCGAGGGCAGCCTATCAGGTAAGAGCATCTTCTAGAACCTACTCCAAAGTCACTGCCAGTCCAGGCCTTAGGTGCATGAATGGCTGTGAGATTCCTTCTCTGTGGACCATCATGCACACTTCCTATGGCCCAGCTGGCCTTGATCATTCAGCTTTGCCATGAACCCTTGCCAACCATGTCAGGTATGGGCTTGAGAGATGCTGCCTCCACAAGGCACCTGAAAGCACATCGCTAAGCCAAGGCTGGAAACTCCCAATGCGCACTCTATCTAGATGGCTTGCAGCAGCTTTGACTGGTATTGTTCAAATGTGCTTTAGCCCCTTTTTGTGGTCTTAAATCCTTTGTAGTTTCCGCTCTGTCAAAGGCTTCTTCCTATGAGGAAAGCTCAGACTATTAGAGAAGTCATGAAGGAGTCCCCAGCTAGTCAGGCACCCATGGGCCCAGCAGATACTCTGCAGAGTATCCACATATATGACCCTTTATGGCCCTATTGTCATATACTTAATCTTAAGAGGTTTGGTGGTCTTCCCAGCTAAATAGTGAGGCATTAGGACTCAGAGTAACCATTGCAGCTTGCCTTGCTGAGAGGCAGGAAAAGAACCCGTGCCGGATGCCAGCCTCCCAGTCTTTACCAAAGCAGATGTCATGGCACTGGCTTGCATGTGGTGGAGAGGAGTTGAACGGACATCTGTACGCTTGGACCCCGACGGACTTCATCTTCAGAGAACACGCTGAAGTTGTGGTCTGAGGGTGAAGCTGAACTCACGAAGCCGATCCAAAGGGAGGGGAATGTAACAACAGCTTCCCAAAGAGAGAATGAGCGTGCCAACAGGGTCATAGACTCTTCCTTGAAGGAACTGTCAGTTCTTCTGGTTCACAGTGTTCTGAACACTGGATCAGTGATTCAGAGTCTCAGGGAGGATGGAGGGCTGGGTTCCTATGAGGAGATGCCTGTGGTTGCAGCATCAGCATCACCTTTAATTAGGTCTGTCTCTATTTAAAGGCACCTTAGTTACTGTATGCTACTGCTCGCTAGTACAGAGCTCAGCCACAGCACTGTGGCACCAAGGAAGCTTGTGTAATCTTTCCCAGCTTTCTGAGGCTTAGCAAAATCCAAGAGCACTGTCACATTATGCCTTGGGACTGTTTCAGTAATCAAACCCACCATGTAACTAAGCCTGGTGGCCCACACCTGTAATCTTATCACCCAAGAAATAGAGGCAGAAGGATCATTTGCAAAGTCAGGGCCAGCCTGATCTACATGGTGAGGTCATGTGTCACAACACAAATAACACTCAAAAGCATCATTAAGAAGCACAAAATGCAATAATAAATAAAGGCCGCAAGCAAGGCTCTACCAGGACATTTGCTTGAGGGTCAGGGTGGAAATAGCCTCTGTAAGAAGCACACATGTGAGCTACTCAGGATTGTCACTACACTGCCTTTCATAAGTCTGAGATTCACACAAAATGATTGTGGGATTGCAAACAGATTTCAAAAAGTAGGTGACTCTCCAAGTATGCCATGAGGAAGTGATTTTTAAGAACAGCATCTAGGAGCTGAAGAGATAGCTCTGTGATTCAGAGGACCTGGGTTCAACTCTTCGCTCTCATGGGGCTCAGGCCTGTAACTCGAGTTCTAGGGTGTTTGGTGCCCTCTTCTGGGCTCCACAGGCACTGCACACACAATGTGCATTGGCCACAAATGCAGCCTGTACACACACCCACATCCAATCAAGTCAAATAAATATCTAAAGAGAACAGCTCCTAGGATCTTGACTAGAGCCAAGCAGTTCTGAGGTCACTACACAGCAGGCTCTGTCCTCTGGGGCTCTGTGGTGGGACAGAAGCTAGGGGGACTTATGGGCGAGCATCTGATCACCAATGACTCTCTGTCCTCATTTCCCAGATCCACAGACATGGGATTCACACCTCCCTCATCACCTCCCACTCGGCCCCGAAACGACCGCAACGTCTTCTCTCGTCTCACCAGCAATCAGAGCCAGGGCTCAGCACTGGACAAGTAAGGGCCTGTGGAAAGCCAGGGAAGGCACTGACGCCGGGAGGGAGCTTGTGGGGCGGGTTAAGTGGGTAGACTCCAGCCCTCCTGTTCCAGCTCCTCTGAGCCATGAGGCCCTGGCACTAGCATCTTTTCTGTACTGACCAAGGGTCTCTCCTTCCCCTCAACATGCTGGGATGTCAGGAAAGGAAAAAAGAAGTTACCTCACGAGGGTGGGATAGTCAGGAGTGGTGTTCTTGTGGAGCAAGCATACCAGAGAGTACTCTAAAGTGCCTCCCTTTATCTGCTTCTGCTGTCTTTGCTGTTCTTGGAAGCCATTTCTTAAGCTTCAACTACTGTCCTACCTGATTGCAAAAGCTTTACACAAAGCCCCATGACCCTTGAACCCTGCCCAGTGGACAGAGACCTCCGAGTCATCTCCATGTGGCAGCCTCACCTGCAGCTCCCGTTGCTATGCTACAGTTGCTACAGGGTACTCAGCTGTAC